TAACCTAATGGAAGAGAAGACTTGGGAAGGCCAGAGTAGCAGGAGAAGTATATTGTGTACACAGAGGAACGGATAATGGAGGGAAGAAGTCTGACTTGGGAACACCTGACCAGCCAGGAGAGCCAGCCGGGTCCAAGAGTCGGCTTGACAGCAGTCGGGCCAACAGGCAGAGAGAGAGCGTTCACGCGTGCAGTGTTGCTATTCGTCGCCTGGTCAGAAAGAAATTTTTGCGACAACTGTGATTGGCTGATCCAGGCGTCGAGACTAACGTCTGTGAGCCTGCGGGAAAGTTCACTTCCACACGAGCTAGTCACAACAACTGTCCAAGCCTTCCAAACATTATGGTTCAGAGAAAAGCGAATTTTGAGTCATGCATTTAGCGTAAAACTTTATTTTGCGTCAACCTAATGCAGTGTGTCATCAGTACGGGGGTATCATAAAATAGCGCAAAAAACAACAATTCCCATTTATTACGGGGAAATAGTCAGGTTCTTGCGTTAGCGTCGGATGATGCACATGGGTCAATGGGGAATATAGGAAAACGTAGACAGTACTACTTTCAAGGTTAGGCAGTTGTTCCTAAGTATTCCGGGTTTCAGTTTTTGGTTAGGATGAATTATATGACGCCCCTAAACAGGACACGAGAACAAGAACCGTTTGCACTCCAGATTGTTTTGCCCGCTAACCTTTAAGGAAAATTGGATTAGGCTTATACTTAGGGTGATGATTAAGGCCACAGTTACGATTAAGTTTACGATCAATGTTAGGGTCAGTGTTCAACTAAGCGTTAGGAAGTAGGTTAGGGACCATTAGGACTACGGGTTAGGCTATGCTAGACTAAGTCTTAGGGGTATTTATCATTCTATCACTTCCAAATGATGCCAACTCTTCTCCGTTTTGCAACCCTGACGGTTGTCTTGGAGATCTCTGTTGATGATCGTCGCGGGCTCTTATATTTTCGCCAACTTGTCGGTGGACTCTACAGTCTCATGGGTCGCATCTCAGTGATGCTGCCGTTACTTCTACGATCCCCTCCCCGTTCCGATTTCGATGTCCCTGTTGAGCTCCTCTTGCCTCACTCCCGTGATGCTATATGATTTTTTCCCGCGACAAGGGGCCTTCCGAACCCTAACCACCACGATCCCACGATCCCACCACGATATATGATTGTATCATATCGTACCATATCAATCTCATTACCTATTTAAGCAGTTTGTTCTCCTATAATTATTTTGAAATCGGTGGCTTGGCTAACTCTGCCCCCGATTTCCTTCATAGGAGTTTTTTCTCTACCTCTTTCTCAGTTCATGACATCCATCTAATGTTGTTCAGTATTATTTAAGTAACTATCCGTTGTAAATCGGATCTGACTTAATACGCATAACATACTACTCATTCCTGTTGTTATACAGCTCTTCATGCGTACCTACGATTACTAATTTATAATTCATCTTCTGCAACGATGGAGACTGTAATTACGTTGGAGAAACAGGGCGAAAATTGCAGAACTGCCTACAGGAACACAAAGCGGCCGCCCGGAGACTAGACCCTAACTCCCAGCTTGCCACGCATATCGGAAAGACCGGCCACAACTTCGATATCCAAGGAACAACCATCGCAGGCCGAGGAGCCTCAAAAGCTGAAAGATTGACGCTTGAGGCATGGTGCTCAGACGCCAATTCTGTCAACAGGCATCTGGACCTTCCTGCGGCCTATATAGTC